GGGGAGCAGTCCCTAGTCCTCGGCAGGTATTTTTGTATCTCACCTATAAGTTGACCCATATGTCACTACAGCTTCAGCTTCTTGAGACGGGTTTCACAGGTGATGGCAGGAACAACGGAGGGAAATCTTGGTGGGAGGCATCCTTTGCTGCACGAGACACACTCCCCCTTCTTGACCCCTTACCCTGAGCTTCAATCAACAATTATCTGGCCAAGAGGCACTCTATGCTTCCCTAGGGTCCTTGCAAGAGCACTCTGAGCCATTCTCTCTCCCATGCGAGATGCCCTAAGGCATGCTGCTTCCCCTCTCTGTGCTGCAAAGGGAGAGAGGAGAGCTGAAGTGTGCAGCTGCTCCCCTTCCCTCTCATTTAGAAGAGAAGGATGCTAACCCATGTATTATCCCTCCCGTGACAGCTGCCAGCTCTGGGAGCTGCTGGAGGCCCCGCACGCACCACAGCACATCCTCACAGCCTGCGGCGTGCACGAGACTCCCGCTCCCATCGTCACGGCAAGTGCTGAGCTGCTCCAGACCCACAAAAAACCCTGCGAGCTTTGATTTTTCCCTGAGATATCATTTCTAGGCCAAGCTGAGGCAAAGAGAAGTGTCCAAATGCGAGTGCTGGGTTAGTGCCACCAGCCAGGGTGGTGGAGCTTGGCCAGCCCACGGCATCAGACGTTGGTCTCGGTGTGACAGCAGGTGAATAACAACAGCATGCACAGCACTGGGGACACAGCTGAATCTCCCCCAGTCCACTGGTGACCACAGCAGCCCCAGGGAGACATAGACAGGCTCCACCCCACTCTGTACAGTGTTCCCAGCAGTGTCAGGCATCAGGCATGTGTGTCCCTGCTCTGCACTGTCACAGCTTCCCTACAGTAGCTCATCACAGCCACAAATAGATCTGGAGAGCTCGGTGTTGCCTTTCGGCAGAGTGCTGAGCTAAGGCATGTACTAAACCCTGTAAACACAGGCCCAGCTTAGTCCGATGGCTCCATTCAGCATCCTCACACCCCAGTGACCCCACACAGCCCAGTGATCCCACACAGACCTCACCAGCAGCCACAGCACAGCCCAAGGGACCAGTCAGGGCCTGGGTATTTATCCCCAAATACCCTATACCTTGAACTGAATTATCACCCAGAGACAGGGCTGGCTGGAGGGGCACGAACCACAGAGCTCTTACAGACGCTCTCAGGTCCTGAGTCACTGATAGGTGTCACTGTGAGTTTAGTGTGGTTTAGTTATTCAGGAAATAACCCAAAACCCAAGGAGATGCCAGCTGGTGTCAGGCTGGCAGTGACTGTGCTCGACACAGCTGCAGCTTCTCAGACCCAACTTAGAGCTGCAAAGGGAGAGTGTTGGCTTGCAGGGAGAGGGACAGGGGTGTCCTGTTTGGCTGCTCCCTAATCATCAAGAACTAAAAAAGATCTTGAGGATGGGTAGCACAGAGGAGGAAGGGAATGCTAGTGATACTTCTGGTCAAAATCGGGTGAACCTTGGCTTAACCTGTGTAATACTGGTCTGCCCAGATGCAGGGAGTTACAGAGGGGCTGAAGGGGAAAAAAAGAAACAACACATCAGCAGAGAGAGAGAGGCTGGTGGAGACATCAGGGATCCTTGGGGAGAGGGGCTGGGAATGCTGCCAGCACTTCTCCCTGCCCAAACTAAACTGAAGTCTTCGCAGGATGCTGGCGCAGGCAGATGGGGCTGGAAGCCCCTGTGGGGCTGGCTCTGACCCAGATCCAGGACACGCATTGGTGTCTGCCGAGCTTCCTTTCCGCAGACGGAAATAGCGGGGGCTCACGGCTCCGTGGGGGGCACGTGGAGGGTCGCGCAGCAGCCACCCCGCCGGGGATCACTCTGTGGCGCCAGGCTCGCTGCCGAAAGCGAAACTCCCCGGATTTGAGGAAAGCGACACCCCGGATTTGAGGAAAGAGAAACTCCCCGTGCCGCTGAAGCCCTGCCTCTCTGCTTCCTCCACAGCGTTCGAACCCTCCGCGGGGCTCCCAGCAGAGCTGTGCGGTCCCTGCGCGGTGACCCTCCTCACACGGCAGCACAGCCGGGCAGCGGGTGCCCGACGGTGGGTATTGCTGCCCCAGCTTCTCGCTGCCATCCTTCCCCCGAGGGTCTGCTCGTGGTGGGACGTGGAGGTTCAGATCAGCTTGGACCATCGGGGCTCGGCGGGGTCCCATCAGGTCAGCCTGTCCCTCCGCAGTGGAGCCCGAGAGGCTCGGACTGCTCCCCACGGGCGTGGATGGGATACACGGGGGGCAGGCTCGGTTTCCCCCTGGTCACGAGTGGGGGCTGTGGGGGCTTGTCCCTAGCCCGGAGTAAAGTGTTGTTTGGGGAGCCCGGGGGCGGTGGGGGATGATGCGGGGGAAGGCAGGGGGGTGTCGGGCCGGGAGCAGAGCGGGCAGGTCCGGGCATGATCCCGCGGCGGCGATGGCCGTGCGACTGCTTCCCTCTAGCGGGCACCGGGGGCTCGGCTCAGCACCGCACCCCCCTCCCGCACGCCTCGGGCCGCCCCCGCAGCACGTGGTGCGAGCGGGACGCGCTTCCGGAGCGGCGGCGGAGCGGTGAGAGAGGCGGCATCGGGTGGGAAGGCTGGGGGAGCTTCGTGCCCCCGTCTCAGAGCGCGCGTGGGGTCCCCGGGACGGAGCCGGGCAGGCCCCCCGCGCGTGTCCGGCATCCCCGCTGGCCGAGCGGATGGGCCCGCGGGGATCCCGCCCGGTCCCCGGGCAACCGCGGCGTCCCCACGGAGATGGCCCTGGGGGGTCCCGCTGTCCCCCCTCCCTGTCCTTGGGGTTGCCCGGGCTGGGATGCGGGGAAGGGGGCTGAGGACAAGCAGCCCAGCGGGGACAGCCGCCATTCCACAGTGGTACACCGGAGAAGGGGGTGAGTACAGCAGCTCTGGCAGGGACACAGCGCCCTGGGGCAGGCGCAGGGAGGGGCAAGGAAAAGGAAATGAGTGTTCTGGGGATTTGCATTAAACTTTATTCCATGCCCACAGCATAAGACTCTCTGACTCATAGCAATGGGAAGACCCAGGAAGGAGTCCGCTGGCACATCATCCCCTCGGGTGGCCACAACTGCCTCCAAAACTGCCCCTGCCACGCCACCACCTTCCGCTTCGGCCACCCGGGCCAAGACCACGACTGCAGGCAGCCGATCCCAAAGTGCTCCAGCTGCCAAGGCTACTACCCCCAGTCAGGGGCAGGGAAGAAAGGCAGATTCTGCTCAGACAAGACCCACAGCATCCTTTAGGGCCCGAGGAGATGCGGGGGACCAGAGCAGAGCACCTCCCAGGAGTTCCTCTACAACCCAGAGGAAGCTGTCTGATGTCAAAGCAGCCGCTGGTCCAGCCAGACCTGCCCCGTGTCCGCAGAAGAAGCAGCCTGGGACTGACCCGAGCAAAGCCTTGAGCCGGTTCCTGCCCCCTGTGGAGAGCCAGGACATCCCACGGGTGGAGAAGGAGACACGGGGCCAATGGAGCAACCCCAAGTGGTACGAGTGGCGGGAGAACCGCATCACGGCCTCCGTGGCCTCCAGAATTGCCAACAGCAAGTTTGCCAATGGCAAGACAGATGAGGTGCCCCAGTCCTACCTGAAAGCTGTGGTAAACCCCGGCCCTGGGGTGCAGACCCCGGCCATGTCCTGGGGGATTCGCAATGAGAAGGCGGCCGTGCAGGCCTACGAGCAGAAGTCGAGGGCGGTGGGCAAGCCGGTGAAGGTGGAGGACTGTGGCCTCTTCATTCACCCAGACAAGAAGTGGCTTGCTGCCAGCCCAGATGGAGTCATCAAGGAAGAGACTACAGGGAAGGACCTGGGGCTGCTGGAGGTTAAGTGTCCCTACAAGCACAGAAACAGGACGGTGCGCGAGGCCTGCAGGGACAAGGACTTCTGCCTGGAGATGGACGGGGACTCCTACGCTCTGAAGAAGAATCATCCCTACTTCACCCAGGTCCAGTGCCAGTTGGCGGCAGCCGGCTTCCAGCAGGCTGACTTTGTGGTGCACACCAACAAGGAGACGGCCGTAGTCCCCGTGCAGTTTGATGCTGAGTTCTGGAGGAAGACGGAGCCCAAGCTGGAGAAGTTTTACTCGGAGGCAGTGGTTCCCCACCTGGAGCAGAAGGCAGGTGGCTCTGTCTGGGCCAAGGAGGAGTAGACCCCCCCTACCTACCTCACCTAGATGCTTGCTTGGCTGCATAAACCCAGCTTTGACCCCTAGCATAGAAATTACATCCTTGTTAGCTGCTGTTCCTGGACCATTCGTAGCCTCAGGACTGAAATGTTGTACCAGCAGGACCCTGCTTGGCAGAGGTTCCCACTAACAGTGCCTTCTTCCTGCCCCAGGCAGATCAGTGCTTGTCCCCCAGAGCCTTCTTGCCCTGTCTCCCTCACTGCATCCCCCATTTAACCTAACAGCACACCTGATGGAAGCTGGCACACCTCTGGATCTTCAGGGAAAGCCAGTGATGTGTCTGAATTTGAATTAGCCTGAAATAGACTTATTTTGTGGAGAAAACTGGAACCATTAGCACCTCAATTGCTGTCAGGACTAAATCGTAACCACACTCCAGAGTGGAGACAGAGGCAAGGTTTGTCAGCGCCCAAGAGCAAAAGTCATCGAAACAGTGATGTGCCTTGAGCGTCAGAGCAACAGCATGTGTACACCTTCCCTCCCTGAGCCATCAAGGTTCCCATTGAAGAAGGTTATCCCCCCAAGCCGTGCACCTCCTGAGGACCTTTCTGTGGAGCCATCCCTGTGAACCTATGCAGCAGTGTGGGGAGGGGGTTATCACTCTACTAAATAAAAGATGCACTGGACTGGTCATTCTCTGTGATTTTTGCAGCTTGGAATTTCCCTGGAGGGGTAGTGGGGCTGAGTGGGAGCCCCACATCAGGTCCCCTCCCAGCCACAGCAGAAGGGAAGAAGGGGAGCACTCGGGTGCTGGAGGGACATGAGAACCAAGGTCATCAAACTATGCCAAGGCCACCAGTGTTATGGCAAAAGTATTTATTATATACATAAGACTCCAGTCACACTCCACAGGGCAAGGACCAGAATTTGCTATAATACAAAGTAACTATAATACAAAGTAACTATAATACAAAGTAACTATAAAAACATAAAGCACTTTTGGGGCCCAGGCTTTCCACAGGAGGAGAGAGGCACAGGGACTAGCCTGGGGGCTGCTGTGTGACAGGGGGCTGTCCCACACCCTCCTCCCAGCTGTGGTCCCACAATAACCAGATGTGCAAGTAGGAAAGAACCCAGTGAAGAATTATAGTCATGGGGACTGGCAGGTGGGGGCTGAGCTCAGTGTCACCAGGACAGGAGTGGGGTCTGCATCCCCCAGGGAAAGTGCAGAAGGCACATGGGCAGGGCTCTTTGGAGGGGCTGTGAGGAGGAGGTGGGATCCAACAGCTAGTGCATGTGGGGCCCCAGGAGATCACAAACACTAACACACCACCCACAGGGATTGTGGCTGGACCACCCTCCTCTCCCCCACACACCTCTGGGATAACCGAACTCCGTGGCCGATGTGATCCTCAGGGAGGACATGCGTGGCAGCTTTCAAGAGTCAGAAGTGTGAGGGGGACAGTCCGGCCCTGTGTCCCAGCCCCTCCCCTGCCAGTGCATTGATTGTCTTCAGGTTAAAAAGGGGCCCCCAGCCTTCCTGCTCTGCAGGAGCTTCAGTCAACGAGGCGCTTGCGGGGCACTGTCCGAGCTCGGTTCGAGCGGCGAATCTCCTGCTTGGCATCCCGGCATCGCTGGCAGATGAAAATGTCAGGCACGTTGGATTTGCGGATCTTGGCACAAGAGAGATGGATCCAGGTAGCGCATTCATTACATTCGATCATGGGCCTCCCTGCAAAGGGCTTCATGCAGAAGCAAGTGATCAGATCCCAGGCATCGTCATCTGGTCAGGGAGAGAGACACTGGTCAGAAACCACACTACCATCTGCAGGTCTGGCTGCGGCCAGACCAGCCAGCTCCTCTAGTGTTAAATGGGACAGCCCACCACTCACCTTCTGCTTTGGTGCTAGGAACTTCTTCAAATTCGACTGCTAAAGTTGCAAAAGGGGGAAAAAAAAGAGGAAAAAAAGGAAGACCAGGTGAGCAAGGCAACCCTACACCCCATTTCAGACCCACTTCAGGTCTGCACCACCCACTCTGCATAATAGAGCTGCCAAGGGGCAGGTCACCTCCCTGCCCTCTGCTTTTCAGTCCCCCCCACCCCAGTCCCAAAGGTACTCCCTTTGCTGGGAGAGGCTTGGGCCATTGACAAGCCCTCCCTGTGGCCAGCATGAGTGGCTCCAGCTGAGGGAGGGACAATGTTTGGCACTGGCTGCAGCACAACAGGACCCTCTGCACTCCCTCTGACACTCACCACTGAGCTGGGAGGTCCCTCTGCTTGTGTCTTCTCCTTTGCTTTGGTCCAAGGTATTACAGGAACTGGGGCTTTTCCTCCCTCCAGAGAAGGGGTCGTGCTGCTTTAGATGAGGATCCTCTCCTGCTGGCTTCTCGGTCCCCTGTGCTCCGTATATCCAGCTTTTCTCCTCCTTTATCGGCTCCTCCAGAAGGGAGGTGGGCTGAGGGTCCCCAGACAAGTTGGGGGAAGGCTCCAATAACTCCTCTTTCACAGGAGACAGCTGTCCTGCCAGCGCAGCCAGCTGTTTCACCCCATCCTGCTCTGCCCCAAAGTCCTTCCAAGCACTCAATGACACCCTCTTCTTCACCTCCTGCTCCAGAATGCGTTTCTTTGCTGGTGGTTTCTTCCGTTTGATTTGCTGGGGCCGGACGTTGTAGAAGCCAGTGGAAAAGACAGGGCTGCTCATAAGCAGGCCATTGTCCACAACTCCCCTGGCCACAGCATTCCTGCTCTTCCTATTGTCCATTGGGATGTGGCAGTCAGAAGAGTGAGATGAGGTCGAGCTATCACTGTCCTGAGTGCTCCCCGTGCTATTCTGGGGACTCATGCTGCCTCCGTGAGTCCAGGGCACATACTGCAAGAGGGGAAGATGCAGGGATTATCATGGGGGACTGCAGCACAGACACTGAGGGTACAGAGAGGGAGGCTGAGGCTGGAGGATTACTCTCCAGATGTGTCTATCCAAACTTCAAGGCCAGGTTGGATGGGTCCCTAGGCAACATGATTTAGTGGGTGGGACCCCTGCCCGTGGTGAGAGGTTGGAACTAGATGATCTCTACAGTCCCTTCCAACCCAAACCACTCTACGATTCTTTACGATTAGGAGCCGGGTCTCCACATGGCATGGAATTCAGGAGAACCAGCATCTTTGTAGAGGAGCACCCTGCAAGCCCACTTACCTCTTCAGGGTAGGGGATGTAGCCTGCATAAGCCAGAACAAAGGTGCAGAACTGGTTGAAATCCTCCACAGTTCTCCGCCGTTTCTGAAGTGCCTGCAACAAACACCACAAGTGGATTAAACTCCCGGGATATCCCAACCTGAGCTGATACCGCAGCCGGCACCAGCAGCAGCCATGGAGTGCCCGGCAGTTTTACAAGCACAGAATATCGAGGTTACTCAAATATCCATCTTTCCTGTAACCCATCCTCACATCATCTGCCGAGGCAGACGCAGCCCTTCCCTTTAAACCCAGATCGCGAAGGGGGGCGGGGGGATGGACACACACGACGACACCGTGACGACATGCCGGGACACCCAGAGCCCGGCAGCCGCCGGCGGAGCCTGACTCAGAGCCTGGGGGCCCCGGTGCCAGGTTGTCCACCACCCGCGGGCGGTGACTCCAGGCCGGGGGACTCTCCCGGGGCAGAGGCCGGTGCTCTCGGGGCTCGGTCCCGCGGGGGGAGCGGCGGGAGGGGCGGGCGCCGGCGGCAGCACCGGCGCCCCCCGGGACAAGCACGCACCCCGGAGGCCCCGGGGGGACCCGGGACCGGTCCGCGGGGCTCGGCCCGCGGCGGCGGCCGGCGATGGGAGGGGGTGTCGGGGGCGGCCCCCCCGCGCCGCCCGTCCCCGCGCCGGGCACCTGATGGCTCCCAAGATGGCGCCGCGCTGCCGGTCCTGCCCCGGCCGACCGGCCCGGGGGGGACCCCGCCCCCCGCAGGGACCCCCTGAGCCCGCGGCACCCGCGCCGACACGGGATCCCCTCACCCCGCACCGGGGCGCAGCAACCCCGCTCCCCTTCACACACACACACACGCGCGCACCCCGGCACCCCCCAGCACACCCGGCCACACCGCCGCCCATCCACAGGGACCCCGAGTGCCGCCGCCGCGCCCCCCCCTCCCCGCCACCATCCCCCGCCCGTGCCCACAGCCGCCCCCCGAGGGCTCCTCTCCCACGCACAGCCCCCGCGGGCACACACACGGAGCCG